CTGTTTCAGCTTTAATACAGTCCCAAGGAATTAAGTATTTTCTGCTTAAATTTCACAGAACACACTTTGTCCCCTAGGTAAAAGTGAACTTAATATGGAAAGCCTCATTTATATCTTGTTTCCCATGATTCTCTGTAACTTCCTCTGGGTCTCCTCTGCATCAAATTTACAACTGAAAATGCTTGAAAGACTCAAATACTTCATCTCTGGAGAAAAGATTCTGTTTTGCTCTTCTGTCTTTTTGTACATGATTTTGCTGATAGTCCTGGGTCTCAGTAATCATGTCTTTAGGGCTATTTCATGAGTCTGGGTGGCAGAGGAGATGGCTGTTTGTTTTGGTGATTACTGATTTTGAAAGCAGCCTAAGAAGTAGTTTTTGCATCACCGTCAGACATTGTAACATCAGAAGGGACCACTAAGATCATCTAGTCTGACCTAAATAATACAAACCACAGAATTAGAATGGGGGAGGAGGGAGTCTTCCTTTTCCCTGATTTTCAGAACCCAATCCCCCTTTATTCTAAAATAATTTCTTCATATCAAATTTCCCTTTTCCACTTCCCCCTAATCCTGTAATGATATCAGTGCTCTCTGCTCACACTATCTAGTTTGAGTCATAACTCATTCTGGCATTTCTATTTAATTTTAAGACCTGAAAGTGCAGACCTGGCAACAATCTTCCCTAGTTCTACCCTTCACCACGCTTACAGCCATTGTGGGGATAATGGTAAGAGAAGTCAGAGACTTTAAACAGCTGCTCTGTGTGTAGATCTGGAAGGAGTTCTTACAAACAGGGACAAGGAAAATGATTATGCCTTAACACGCTTACATGCTAGCCTGGTAGGCTAACAGACATTCAGAAAGCCTGAGCCTGAATTGATTCAATCTTTGCAGGTTAGTCTAACCTGGCTAGACTCAACCGGTGTGTAACTGCAACGACATCCCAGCCATACTGCCACATGCCTGCAGTGGCTCAGGTTAGAACCTGGGCATGCTAGAGCTGCCTTCCCTTCCCTTCCTCTCAGTGCTAGAGCTGAGGGGGAGTGGCCAGGTCCCAGCAGTGAGCAGCCCAGCAGCCAATTGATAACTGTGTTTTTATCACCCCATTAAGAAAACAACAGAGGGATATTACCAGCTACCTGTTGATCCTGCCTGTTGCTTCTACTTCTTGAGTTCAGCACGGATGGTAGGCAGCATTTGGTCGGCTAACTAATACACAGACACCTCCTCAGTGAGGCAGAGGGGAAGGTGGAAT